CCCATATCTGGATAGGACCCCTGTATTATTATAATGTACTCACCCAGGACCCATATCTTAGATTAGATAGGATGCCTATATTATTATAATGTGCTCATGATGCCTGTATTATTATAATGTGCTCATCCTACACCGACTTCAACGCCAGCAGTTGGACCACCCAAAACAAAAAAATCTATTGCAGAAGCTAATCTAAAATTTGATACATTTTTTTCTTGCTGGATTAAAAAGTAGACCGCCTAAAATTTCATTACAATATCACCTAGCGTATCTTTCTCCAAAAAAAAAAAATCACATTAATGAACCTCTTGAGCCAAATACGATTATTTTTTTCATTTTATTAGTAACGAAAGTATATTCTAAAAGAAGTTTAAAATAAAAACGAACACAACTGCATTGCTTAGTAAATGCTCGATGCTGTAGAAATGAATATCCACCATGTTTTGATCTGGAACGATATTCTTTGACCTGGCAGGTCAAATCGATAATTAACCAATTAAATGACGGATGATGCCAACCCCCCCCCCCCCAAAAAAAAACACACACCAAACTGCCGTTTAACAACCCAGGGAAAATTTACGGCAGTATCCGGTATTATTTTTTTACCAGGATTTTGAAAGCAAAATTACTAAATTTATTGGGCAAAAATCGGGCCAAAATATGCAATGGGGAATTTAACCAGACTGAACCATGCTTTACTTGACACTAAAAGTTGCAACAATCATAACCAGTTCTCCGAATATGTTATCTCAAACAATAAGGAGCTACCCAGAATGCATCATTTTAGCAAAATAACAATATAATTACATCACTCCCAACAATAGGCTGCAGTCTGTGAATGGGGTTGGCCAGAAAGGAAACAACTTTTTCATATCAAGACTTTCTTTTATGTAGAGTCTCCAACAATTTTGTTAATTACCTTGCAGTTTAATCGTTCATGCTTTTTTCAAAAAATTTTTTCCACATTTGAATCAGCATTTCTTTGATGTTTTTTGGAAGAAATCAAATCAGGTTATGACATGACATCTCCACAAAATAATCAGAACTGAATAATCTACTTATGGTACCTATATACCAAGTATGAAAGCAATTGGACTAGTAGTTTTCAAGAAGAATTTTTTACATTACATTTGCCCAAATTAAAGAATTAAAGACATCATCACGAAATGAAAAACAATTTTAGAATGCATTCCACCCAAGGTACTAAGTATCAAGGTAATTGGCCTAGTATTTTTCAGGAAAAAGTCACAAATATAACTGTTGATGAAAAACAGACAATCATTTACATGTATAGCTCCCCACTGTACCATCTTTGATGACAGCTGAGCTAAACAAGTTTGGCAGTTTACGACTTAACATTTTGGTGATATGCATATTATGCACATGATATAATGGTGTATGGTTTTCACATGGCCAGGTGTGATATAATGGTATATGGTTTTCACATAGCCAGGTGTGATATAATGGTATATGGTTTTACATAGCCAGGTGTGATATAATGGTATATGGTTTTCACATAGCCAGGTGTGATATATTGGTGTACGGTTTTCACATAGCCAGGTGTGATATCATGGTATATAATTTTCACATAGCCAGGTGTGATATAATGGTATATGGTTTTCACATAGCCAGGTGTGATATATTGGTGTATGGTTTTCACATAGCCAGGTGTGATATAATGGTATATGGTTTTCACATAGCCAGGTGTGATATAATGGTATATGGTTTTCACATAGCCAGGTGTGATATAATGGTATAGTTTTCACATAGCCAGGTGTGATATAATGGTATATAGTTTTCACATAGCCAGGTATTAGATAATGGTGTATGGTTTTCACATAGC